CCATCTTGGGGCTATCTTTGGGGCCTCTTCGCGCGTCTTGGAGCGTCGGGAAGCCGGAAAGGCGGAACAGGAAAAAACATCGAAAAACACACTGGAAAATCAGCAATGTTAGACTCTTTGGGCCTTCTTGGGAAGCTCATTTGGAACCTCAAGGCCGTCTTGGAGACCTCTTGGCCCGTCTTGGGGCCATCGTGGGCGTCTTGGAGCGGTCGTTTGGCGTCTCGGAGCCTTCGTGGGCCGTCTTGGAAGCCTCTTGGGGGCTTCGTGGCCCGTTTTGAGGCCCTCTTGGGCCAGGAAAAGCTCCGTGGATCGCTCGTCCCGGACCCCCCCCCCTCCAAATCGGCCCTCTTGGGCCGTCTTGGGGACCTCTTGGGCCGTCTTGGGGCCGTCTTGGGCCGTCTGGAGGCCGTCTTGGGGGAGTCTTGGGCCATCTTGGGGCTATCTTTGGGGCCTCGTCGCGCGTCTTGGAGCGTCGGGAAGCCGGAAAGGCGGAAAAGGAAAAAACATCGAAAAACACTCTGGAAAATCAGCAATTTTAGACTCTTTGGGCCCTCTTGGGAAGCTCATTTGGGACCTCAAGGCCGTATTGGAGACCTCTTGGACCGTCTTGGGGCCATCGTGGGCGTCTTGGAGCGGTCGTTTGGCGTCTCGGAGCCTTCGTGGGCCGTCTTGGAAGCCTCTTGGGGGCTTCGTGGCCCGTCTTGAGGCCCTCTTGGGCCAGGAAAAGCCCCGTGGATCGCTCGTCCCGGACCCCCCCCCCCTTCAAATCGGCCCTCTTGGGCCGTCTTGGGGACCTCTTGGGCCGTCTTGGGCCGTCTGGAGGCCATCTTGGGGGACTCTTTGGCCATCTTGGGGCTATCTTTGGGGCCTCGTCGCGCGTCTTGGAGCGTCGGGAAGCCGGAAAGGCGGAACAGGAAAAAACATCGAAAAGCACTCTGGAAAATCAGCAATTTTAGACTCTTTGGGCCCTCTTGGGAAGCTCATTTGGGACCTCAAGCCGTCTTGGAGACCTCTTGGCCCGTCTTGGGGCCATCGTGGGCGTCTTGGAGCGGTCGTTTGGCGTCTCGGAGCCTTCGTGGGCCGTCTTGGAAGCCTTTGGGGGGCTTCGTGGCCCGTCTTGAGGCCCTCGTGGGCAGGAAAAAGCTCCGTGGATAGCTCGTCCCGGCCCCCTCCCCCCCTCCAAATCGGCCCTCTTGGGCCGTTTTGGTGACCTCTTGGGCCGTCTTGGGGCCGTCTTGGGCCGTCTGGAGGCCGTCTTGGGGGACTCTTGGGCCATCTTGAGGCTATCTTTGGGGCCTCTTTGCCTGTTTTGGAGCGTCGGGAAGCCGGAAAGGCGGAAAAGCCAAAAACATCGAAAAAACACTCTGGAAAATCAGCAATTTTAGACTCTTTGGGCCCTCTTGGGAAGCTCATTTGGGACCTCAAGGCTGTCTTGGAGACCTCTTGGCCCGTCTTGGGGCCATCGTGGGCGTCTTGGAGCGGTTGTTTGGCGTCTCGGAGCCTTCGTGGGCCGTCTTGGAGGCCTCTTGGGGGCTTCTTGGCCCGTCTTGAGGCCCTCTTGGGCCCGGAAAAGCCCCGTGAACCGCTCGTCCCGGGCCCTCCCGCTCCCCTCCAAATCGGCTCTCTTGGGCCGTCTTGGGGACCTCTTGGGCCGTCTTGGGGCCGTCTTGGGCCGTCTGGAGGCCGTCTTGGGGGCCTCTTGGGCCATCTTGGGGCTATCTTTGGGGCCTCTTTGGCCGTCTTGGAGCGTCGGGAAGCCGGAAAGGCGGGAAAGCAAGAAACGTCGAAAAACACTCGGGAAAATCAACAATTTTAGACTCTTTGGGCGCTCTTGGGAGGCTTGTTTGGGACCTCGGGGGCCGTCTTGGAGACCTCTTGGCCCGTCTTGGGGCCATCTTGGGCGTCTTGGAGCGGTCGTTTGGCGTCTCGGGGCCTTCGTGGGCCGTCTTGGATGCCTCTTGGGGGCTTCTTGGCCCGTCTTGAGGCCCTCTTGGGCCCGGAAAAGCCCCGTGAACCGCTCGTCCCGGACCCCCCCCCCCTCCAAATACGGCCCTCTTGGGCCGTTTTGGTGACCTCTTGGGCCGTCTTGGGGCCGTCTAGGGCCGTCTGGAGGCCGTCTTGGGGGACTCTTGGGCCATCTTGTGGCTATCTTTGGGGCCTCTTTGCCTGTTTTGGAGCGTCGGGAAGCCGGAAAGGCGGAAAAGCAAAAAACATCGAAAAAAACTATGGAAAATCAGCAATTTTAGACTCTTTGGGCCCTCTTGGGAAGCTCATTTGGGACCTCAAGGCCGTCTTGGAGACCTCTTGGCCCGTCTTGGGGCCATCGTGGGCGTCTTGGAGCGGTCGTTTGGCGTCTCGGAGCCTTCGTGGGCCGTCTTGGAAGCCTCTTGGGGGTTTCGTGGCCCGTCTTGAGGCCCTCTTGGGCCAGGAAAAGCCCCGTGGATCGCTCGTCCCGGCCCCCTCCCCCCCTCCAAATCGGCCCTCTTGGGCCGTTTTGGTGACCTTTTGGGCCGTCTTGGGGCCGTCTTGGGCCGTCTGGAGTCCGTTTCGGGGGAGTCTTGGGCCATCTTGGGGCTATCTTTGGGGCCTCTTCGCGCGTCTTGGAGCGTCGGGAAGCCGGAAAGGCGGAAAAGCAAAAAACATCAAAAAACACTATGGAAAATCAGCAATTTTAGACTCTTTGGGCCCTCTTGGGAAGCTCATTTGGGACCTCAAGCCGTCTTGGAGACCTCTTGGCCCGTCTTGGGGCCATCGTGGGCGTCTTGGAGCGGTCGTTTGGCGTCTCGGAGCCTTCGTGGGCCGTCTTGGAAGTCTCTTGGGGGCTTCGTGGCCCGTCTTGAGGCCCTCGTGGGCCAGGAAAGCCCGTGGGATCGCTCCGTCCCGGGGACCCCCCCCCCCCCCCCCCCCCCTCCAAATCGACCGGACCAGGCTCCCGGGGGAGGGGTTTGGGGAGGGGGAAGCATCTCACACGCCGATGATCCCCAAGGGGTCGGCGGATTCCCAGGTGTGCAGATTCAGCGTCGTGGACCCCCCTCCGCTAACGATATTAGTTTTCAGATCTAGGGCTTCTCCCGGGCTTCGCAACCTTTTTGACCAGGGACACTGAGGTACAATGTATGAAGGAATCGCGCTCTCGCGTGGGACCTCCTCGCAATGTATTCAGACGCCGCGCCTCCAACCCTTCGGCGGAATCACGCTCTCGCTTTGGATCGTTCACAAGTTATTCCGGGATCGCGCGATCGCTCGAAACTTCCTCGCGATTCATGCAGGACGCACGCTTTAGCAACCCGCCTGCTCGACCTGGCCGCTTGGGCCCGCCTTCCTGTCCCGACCCTGCCGTTATGGGTCTGCCAACCCGATCCGCCCGTCTGGTTATGTCACATGCTATCTGCTCTCAGCCCCCTCCTGCTACGCTCTCTCCTGCTCCATCCTCCTCCTTCTCCTTCCCCCGTATCCCTTCCTTCCATCCGTCCTCTCTTCCCCTGCCTTACGGGCTGCGCGGAATCCGTTTGGCATGTAAGAAAGATATATATATACCCGCAAGGGGGCACGATCGAAGACGAAGAGGGCGGCGGGTATCGAGGGTCGGGGATATACGTTGTGAGTGTCACGCGATCAGCAAGGAACGAACAGTCTTAAAAGTATGATTGCTGCTGTTGTGGCGTGTTTGTTCCTAACGAATGATTGTTGTTGATCCCCCCTCCAGAAACCGTTGCCCTTTTCACTTGAAGTGCCTTCCTCTGGGGTCGCACCTTTTTTTACAAATGAAAGCTAGGTGTCACCAGACGTCGCCCTTAGCCTCAGAGTTACAAGGACAACGGCTCCCGTTGGATAATTCCTCACAATGTATTCCCAAGTCGCGCTCTCGCGCGGGACTTCCTCTCGCGTGGGATTTGTTCGCAATGTATTGAGACGCATGCAGTGCATTGGCCTTTCTCATGATTTACTTGGAAATCGCGCTATCGCTCGAACTCTCCTCGCGATGCATGCAGAACCCACGCTTCACCAACGCGCTTTCTTGACCTGGCCGCTTGGGCCCGCCTTCCCGACCCGCCCGTTTGGGTCTCCCTCCCGATGGGCCCGTCTGGTTCTGCCACGTGTTTTCTCCTCCTAGCCCCCCTCCTGCGAATCCCGTGCTCAATATTTCTCTCTTTACATCCGTCCTCTCTTCTCCTGTTTCAGGGGCTGCACCAATTCTTTGCGGCTGGTAAGGAAGATCTACCCCCAAGGGGGTACGATCGAAAACGAAGAGGGCGGGTACCGAGGGTCTGGGATATTCGTGTTGAATGGCACGCGAGCAGATGGGAGCGAACAGTCTTCATGCTTTACTTTCTAGTGTCGTTGCTATGGTTTTTGTTGTGGTTGTTGTTTTGGTTGTTGTTGGTGGTGCTGCTATTGTTATGTTTGTCGTTGTTGTCAAGGTTGTTGGGATGGTGTTGTGATGTTGTTGTTGTTGTTGTTGTTGTTGTTGTTGTTGTTGTTGTTGTTGTTGTTGTTGTTGTTGTTGTTGTTGAACATTATTACTTCTAAAGAATAATTATTGTTGGGACCCCTGGTGCACGACCCCCCCGCCGCGCCTAGGCCGCAGCCTCATTTTCATCATTTTCGTGAGGAAGTCTCAGGCAAAACGGGGGAGTCCGGATCCGGTTGTGTTGTTACGATCGGTTTTCCCTTGCAAAAAAAATAAGCTAAAGTGGACATTTCTTGTTCTAACATAACCAAACTTCAAGAATCCCTTGCAAAAAATAAGGTAAAGTGGACATTCGCGCGCGCAAGACGAAATCCTTCCAAAACCTTAGTTTTCGTAGCGATTTTAACATAAAAACATCAAAAAACCAATGGTTTTTCAAAAAAAAATGTCAAAATTTCATCCCGCGCGCTCTTGCGGATTCGTAGGAAACCCAACACTTTTTAATCATTTCTGTCAAACGGGCTTTTGCGAGCAACTTTTTCGAACTTCTGCAACAACGGTTGCGCACCTGCCAGGGCCATCATCCCTGTCAAATAATACCATGCGGGACACATTCGTTTTTTCTTCGCGCGCGCACGCCGTCGTCGTCGGCCGCGGGGCCCTGAATAGTAGCCACGGTCGTCCGCATGCCACGAAGTGAAGTGTCCGAACGTCATAGGGCGGGAAGCTGGGTGTGGGTGGTGGCGAAGAGTCGTTTGGAAATTTGGTAGAGCTTGAACCGGCCCCCCCACAAAGTGGGGGTATTGCCCGCCTCCTATGAAAACCCTGGCACCTGGTGAGAACGGTGTGTCCCCACGTGCTAGTAATTGTTGTTGTTGTTGTTGCTGTTGTTGCTGTTGTTGCTGTTGTTGCTGTTGCTGTTACTGTTGCTGTTGCTGGTGCTGGTGCTGGTGCTGGTGCTGTTGCTGGTGCTGTTGTTGCTGGTGCTTTTGTTGCCGTTGCCGTTGCCGTTGTCGTTGTCGTCGTCTTTGTGTGTGTGTGTGTGTGTTTTTTTTTGTGTGTGTGTGTTGGTTTGTGTGTGTGTGTTGGTGTGTGTGTGTGTGTGTTTGTGTGTGTGTTTGCGTGTATTCGTGGGTTTCTGTGTGTCTGTGTGGGCCTGTGTCTGTGTCTCTGTGTGTCGCGCGCGCCTGCGGAGGACGCCAAGCAGTTCCGGAGCGGCGACAAGCACTCAGTGCCCTGCGAGTGCGTCGTGGAGCTGTACGAGCTGCTGTGGCGCTGGGGCCACCGCTCCGGTGCTCTCGGCCTCCGCGGCTAAAATCCGAGCCCTGCCGCATGGGGCTAGGACGAGGCGATTGTTTTCTGATGTGTTTTGCCGATCGGCGCGGGCCCTCGCACCCCCCTCCCCCCACCTCCCCATGGAGGAGATCTTGGCCGTTTTGGGCGCCTGCTTCGAGCAGGTGGAGTCTCCCCAGAGGACGCACTGTTGCGAACAGTCGCATTGAGCAGAAGTCTCGAGCCAGACCCCGCCTGCCCCCCCCCCCTTCAGCCCAATGTCGAAACGCCGAATAAGAAAACGTTCACGAGGATAAATCCATTCCAGAGCGTTCCGAAACGCTCCTCAGAGCGTTCCGGATCTCTCTAAGAAGACCGCGGCGCCCGAGGCATCTTCCAGAGCTGCGGGATCTCAGAGATTATCGTGTTATCTTCACCCGATGTCTATCCTCGTCCTGGCTTCTTCGTACCCTGCCCTCGCCGATCACCGATTCTGGTCCACTCGATGGGCGGCGGGAGCAGGGTTCGAGGTGCGTCGAGCACGTGCCGACATCGAGCTCTGGCCCCGCCTCCCATCGACTCAGGAGAACCGGTGGTTGGGGGGGGTAGGGCTCGGATGTTCAGGAGCGGAAGAAGGAAGTACATGTACATGAATCCACGCTGGTTTCGAGAGTACGCATTGCGCAAATGTTCGTAGAACGCGGCCGGTCTCGCGGATCGAGGGGCCGTGTTCATGTACATAGCTGGGCGCGTACGTCCTTTGTGCACTCCCTAGATGTTGCACCCTACGGTTGCAATTCCTGGGAGGGTAAGTTCAGCATCGGTGTTGGCAGATCCGCGGCATGAAACGTCCCACCCCGCCCCGAATCTCAAGTCAGAACAAGCTGCCGATGCAGCTGCTCGTGCCAGAGAGCCCTCCCTCATCGCCACGGCTGGATTCTGCTCGAAATCCCACTCAAAACGCACATCAGGGGAGTTCTGTGGAGTGGCGGTAATGTTGGTACTTGTCTGTGTTCCCCCAAATCCAGCTCAGTCCAGCTTTGTCCCGTCCTTGGCTCAATCTGGCATGGTCTGGTTCACTGGCCCCTCAATCGGGCTGAGTAGCCCCTAGTCGTTCCCATCAAGACCTCCCAGGAGTTGCCTCCCAAGGTTCCTCGAGCTTCCTGGCGAACTTCGGGTTTGCGATCCCAGACACGATAGTGATCGTGCACGGCAAGCCGTACGCCTGGTACTTCATTAGCAAGAAGGCGTCGCGTTTGGTCGTCCACCGTAATTCCGAGTGCAGGCTTGGTCAGAACACAGCAAAAAACGTACAAGCTCATTTGCAGATGTGCGCTGGCGGAAATGTCGGTCGAGCCCCCGAATCCCACGTTGCCAGAGAAGTAAAATAACAAGTCGAAGGCTTTCCTCCATTTTCGGTCTCAGGGGGAACCACCAGGCTCAAAGATGATCAAAAAACACTACTCCGAGTTTCTTAATAAGCGTCGGGGGGTCGTCACCCCCGCCGACAGCCCCACATCGACCCCACTTCGCGGGCAGCCAGCGCGCGCCGAAGGCGCTCCGACCCCCGCCGCGGCGCGACGGCGAGGCGAGGTTGACCCCCGTCGGGGGGGTACCCCCCCCGCTCATTGAGAAACCCAGAGCACTCTGGATGAGAAGCTGGTTCCGGGGCATGGCTCGAGACCGCTGGAAGTCCACAGTGTGGACGTGCCCTCGTCGCCGGGGCCACTGGGCCCACACTGCCAAGGAAGCACGAGAACAAGGCGAGGGCTCTCCTCCGTCTTCGGTCCCAGGGCGTCCCCACCGGGCCCCGGGAGCATCCAGAAACGCTACCCTGGACGAGAAGCTGGCTCGGAGGCGCGGCTCGAGATCGCAGGAGGTCCACAGGGTGGGCGCGCCTCGTCGGGCCCGAAGTGGCGCGGAGGTCGGCGCGCTTTGGGGTATGACGTGCCAGCTGCGGCCAGATCTTGGGCCCCGGAGGGGCACCTTAAGTCATCGAGGGCAAAGGAACCCCGAAGCTTCAGTCGGGCGTGTCCCTCTACAGGAGGAATATCCCAAAATACCAAAAAATACTCTAGAGACGATTCTTCGATTATTTCTGACTATGTTTGCATATGTTTGGGCTATTTTCAATCTTTCCTCGAAAATCCTTTTGTAGGGAGACATGCCCGACATAACCCTAACCCGAATGGGATACAGTGAAGGCGTGGCCTCACTCGGGTCCCCGTCTTTGCACCAGGGATAACAAGATCTGGGCAGGTTTGGTCTGACACATCTGCAGACAAAGCCCCCTATACCCCTGATGTTTCTGCCCCTTCCCCTTGTATTGCGAATCGCCAAGCCCTTGCGTTCCCCGCTCTCGCCCCTCCCGACAGCTCCGCATCGAGAACTTCATTTATGCCCGTGCGCATGTGAGAAGGGGCGGGCCTCCTCAGCAGGCTCCGAAGCCCCTTCGTTCTGAGAAGTTTTCTAGCCTCCCCCGAAGCCTGAAGACACAACAACAACTTCTCAGCAGGCGCGAGGGTATCTGAGACGTCCCGGTGCCCTCTGAGAAGGCCTTCTCCTCCTCACCTTCCCCCCCTCGCTCTCGCCGCCGATGCTCACCTCCTGCGGCCTGCCGCCCTCTCGCACGCTCGCTCTCTGTCTCTCTCTCTCTCTCTCTCTCGCGCCTCTTGTCCCCGCGCCTCTCTCGCTCCCGCCGTCACCGCCCACCAAACCACCCCAACCCAGCGCGAAGGCCCCGATCTGCCTTCCAACTCCAGCAACCGAAATTCGGGTTTTCGGGTTGGGGTGGTTTGGTAGGTAGTCTTAAGGCTTAAGACTCCCTACCAATGGGTTTTGCGTGGCGCCCTTCCCGATGGGAGATCCCACGTCGTTGCGCAATTAAGTGCGTTTGCTTGTGTTTTGAGCGGCATTCTGCTGTCTCAGCGGCGGTTTGGTTGCCCCCCCGCTTCCGCCACCCCCAAGTGGAGCTGCATGATAAGTCGGTCACGTCCCCATACAGGAGGAATATTCGAAAATTGGAAAAAATAGTCTGGGGATGAATTTTTTTTCGATGTTTGAATAGTTTTGAAGTTTTTTTTTTGATTTTCAAATTTTCGAATTTTCGCTCAAAATCCCCCTGCAGGGGGACAGGCCCGGCTCAAAATTCGGGTCTTCGGGTTGGGTTGGGGTGGTTTGGTAGGTAGTCGCGCAGCTCTCGCCTCCCTCGCCTCCCTCGCCTCCCTCGCCCCTCCCTCGCCCCTCCCCCGCCACCCCCGGGGCCAAGGCCCAGGAAGCGAACGGCGCCCAGAGGCCCACACGGCGACACGCCCAGCCCGCGCCGACACCGACACCGAGGATGAAGTCGGGCCTGTCCCTCGACAGGAGGAGTATCCCAAAGTAGTCAAAGAACAGTCTGGAGAGGATTGGTTTGACTATTTCTGACCATTCTGGGGTACTTGTTACACATGCTTCAACTTTCGCCCAACATCGGCCTGTAGGGGGGCATGCCCTAAACCAAGGACTTCCTCTTCTTCTTCCTCCTCCTCCTCCTCTCCTCGGCGCTCGTTCGTCCCGACTTGCAATTCGTCGTCAGGGCTCTCGTCGGGTTGTGATTGAGCGAGGACAACTCGGGGCTCCCGCCGTGGGGCCATCCTGTCGCAGATCGCAGAGTCCTCCTGCGCACGGCAGGTCGCACAGTCCTGGATGTCATAGGACTGTTGTTTAAGCTCGAGTTCTGTCGACCTTCGGCCCGACACAGTTTCGCCGCCGCCGCCTCCTCTCGTCCTCAGTTCTTGACGCTTCGCTTCGCTGATCCCCACCAGACCATGCAGAAACACTTGCCGGGGGAGTTGCTAGAACGAGGGCCGTGTAGAAGCATGATGGCCGCCGAAGCGGCGGTCCCATTTGCTGAATAGTTGAAGACATGATCTCTTGCCGCCCGGGCTCTATTTGGTTTTTCTGGGATGAGCTCATGGAAGTCTATTGCAGTGATCTCCGGCGTTCAAGAATTTATGGGCACTTGATTTGGTCTGCGTCCTGGACCAGGCACGCGACTTTCGTTGTATCCAGGATTGGCAGGAGCGACTGCCAAGCGAGCTGCCCGAATCAGAGAAGTGTAGAAGTGTGCAGGGGAACGGTTGCCTTGGAAGCGCGCGCGGGGGCCGTGGAAGGTGCGGGAGCATCTGTCGATTGTTTTAACAACTCATAGTCACATGAGCTCCGTTTTTTTTTTTTTTTTTTTTTTTTTTGTTCTGTTGGGATGCTTTGTTGGAGTTAGCTTGGGGTCTTTCCGCCTTCCAGATTCACGGGAGCTGGACCTTCATGTCGTGCAGGAACGATCGAAACAAATGACCGGCGAGGTGCCCGAATCGGCGAAGTGTAGATGTAGTTTCACAGCGGCACGGCCGCCTCGGAAGCATGTCGGGGCCAAGCCAGCGGCGGGAAGATCCGTTGCATGACTTAGCAAACGTTCCCGTGGCACTGCAGCCGTAGCGGAGCCTTCACCGACCTTTTTGGAGTCAGGGGGCTCCCCATGGAGTAGATCTTGGATGTTTTTGGGCGCCTGTTTTCAAGCAGGTGGAGTCTCCCCCATAATGGACGCACTGTTCCAAACAGTCGCACTGAGCAGAGGTCCGGAGCCAGCCCCCCCCCCCCTCCCTCACCCCCTTCCGCCCAATGTCGAAACGCCGAATAAAAAAAACGCTCACCTTGAGCCGAATGCGTCAAAGATGGGAGGGTCCTCAATTCAAGTTCCCCCTTCGGAGGCTCCAAAAGGGCGTCTTGGTGCCCTCTTGGGGCGCTCCTGTGGCGCTCTTGGGTGCCCTTGGGCTCCTCCCGGGGATCTCTTGGGCCGTCCTGAGGCCATCTTTGAGGTCTGAAGAGTCCGTCGGAAGCGAAAAGGCGAGAAAGCAAGCACATGAATTTCCCGTTGGTTTTTGATGGACTCTGGCCTCTTGAAGGATTCCTTCGGCGGCTCGGAGGGCCCTTGGAGCTATCCTGAACTGAGGCTATCCTGAACCATCCTGAACTGAGGCTATCCCTTTCGGAGGTATGTCGGAGGCTATCCTGAAACATCTTGAGCCATCTTGGAGGCCATCGTGGAGTCTCTGAGGCCCTCTTAGAACCATCTTGGGCCATCTTGGGCGCTTCAACTACCCGCGGCACTCCCCCGCGTCCCAGGCCCAAGGGAGGGTGTAGTGGGAGGAGTAAGCCCCTCCCCTGGCAGCTCTGGCAGAGAGAAGACAAAACTCACCAAACCACCTACGCCCAGCGGGCTGGTGATATTATTATTATGTGTCTCGCATTGCATGTATCCAGACAATCCAGATTCTCGAGTCCACGGCCTCACCCGTCTGGTCTAAGCCAGGCCGGACACTGTCCGCAACGGTGGTCGCACCGCGTCACATCCCGCTGCTGGTCTATCGCTCTTTCGCCCCCCTTGCTTTCCTTCACGCTGTCGCTCTGTGATTTCAGCTCAGGCAGCGGTCGGGTGACTGAGTCGCACCAGTTTCGATGGCCAGATCGAACTGCACAGCTCGAGTTGAGATGCGCTGGATCGAGTTCGGGGGGAGCATGGTGAATGGGAAGGCACCTCAATGAAGAACAATGGGCATGATCTAACATGCTCGCCAGTCCACGTGGATTAATATGATCTGCTCTGGACCTTCCTGGCGGCTTGTCCGGCGCCGCCCCTGGCGCGCCCCGCGCGACAGTGAGGAGGGGGCTCAGCGCAGATCCAAGAAGCCCGCGCGGACCTCTAAAAGTGTACGTTCTTGCCGCTTTCTTTGCCCCTCGGGCACAGCGAATTTGCGAATTGGAGCTGGATGCTCTGATGGGCGGCTGCTTTGATGACCGCGGGGATGCTAAGGAGGTAGGGGGTTATACGTGGATGGTGAGGAGGGTTCTATCTGGCTCAATCACGCTTAGAAGTGAGCTACATGTGCCCGGAGCGGCTTGGGTGGATCTCGATAACTCCGCTGCGTGGGTGGAGCCCATTTGGCCCTGATCATAACCCCCTTGATCCACTTGGGGGACTTCTCTCCCATCCATAAACTACGTAGGACCTCGCAATTGGGTGCTACGCGGCTGGGTCGCGGATGTGTCGCGGGTGGGTCTCACCAGTTCAATCCGAGGCTTATCCCTCGTCCTCGAGAATTTAGCAGTATCTTGCCCCATGCATGTTCAGGTCGTCTTTTGGTTCGGAGGCGGTGCACCCTGTGTTTTTTTTGCCCATTTCTGGATTCTCTAAAATGGGCCTGGAGAAAAAACAAACGAAAGTTTGAAACAAGAGTTCATATGTACTTGATATTCGCTGTTCGGGTACGTATATTCAGTACAAAACTTGCGTTTGTAAAGGAATCGACTCGTCATTATTGAATAAGAATATTATGTATTGTTCTAATACATCGTTTTTGCTGTAAATCTCCGTAAAGGCTTCGCCCCCTGCCGCCGGCCCCCTCTCTATCATTATGGGATATATCAGAGTCGCGCCGGTGCGCCTGGGCGCTGCCTTGGCGCATCTGGGAACATCATGCGGGGGCGGATAGGAATCATCAGCGCAAATTGAGACGTTGGCGTTATCCTAGTGGCCTTCGGCCCCCATCCCGCCATCGTGCCTGGGTTGAGGGTCTGAGGCATCTTGTGTATGTGTTGGAGTGTCGTGGGGAGCCTCTCGGGGACCTCTTGGAGGCGGTTCAGGCGCATCCTGGGGGCCTCTTGGGGCCTTTTTGGGGTCTCTTGGAGGCCTCTTAAGCGCCTCTTGGGTTCTCTTGGGGCCTCTCGGGGCTCTCTTAGGGCCTCATGGGGGCATCTCGCGCCACAGATATAAAATGTTCGGTTCGTGGTCCCCTGCTTGGGCCCCTCTTTGGGCTGTCTTGGGGCCCTCTTGGGCCGTCTGGAGTGCTTCTTAGGCAATCTTGGAGCCCTCGTGGGCCGTCTTGGGGCCCTCTTGGAGGCCTTCTGGGCTGTCTTGGGAGCGTCTTGAGCCGTCTTGGAGCGTCGGAAGCCGAAAATGCGAGAAGGCCCAAATCCTTCAAAAATCTGTTGTGCACTCGACGATTGGGCGCCTTGGGGCTCTTTCGGGAGGCCTCTTGGGGTGCTCTTGGGGCCCTCTTGGGCCGTCTTGGAACCGTCCTCGGGTTCCCTGGAGCACTCCTTGGCCCCGGCAATGCGAATATGGCGTACTCTGTAAGGGTTTATGGCCCCAGGGACGCGACTGTGGTTTGTGGCCTCGGGGACGCGATAATCGTATAACTTACGAGGGGCTATGGCCTCGAGGACGCGACTCGGGCGTGGCAACCGGCTAGTGTGGGGCTTCCCCCTCTCCTCCCGAGGGCTCCAACAATTTACAACAGGAAGCAGAACGACGGACTGAAACATTGGAGACTTCAAACTGCAACTGTCGCAGGGAGCAGCAACCTCGCCCTACAGACTGGTGGCCCCACGAGGTGGCCGGCGGATGTTTGCTCCTTTGTGGAAATGTACGTCTTCAACGAAACGCCGCCGTGGGATTTGGGGACCTCGTCGCCGCGGGAGGGCGCACGGCCACAGTAGCAGAGGGCTGAACCGAGGAGGAGGCAAAGACGCAATCGGTGAGTAATTTGCGCGGAGAAAACTGCAAGCTCCACGCGCGTTCGCAGCTAGGAGTGAGGAGTGAATGCGCGGTCTGCGCGGGGCCATTGCAGGCGTGTTCCATGCGAGGGTGCGGACCGGAACGTATTTTTCCAAATGAGTTCCAAATTGTTCCAAGGGGGGGTGGGGCCTCCGACTTCGTTCGCGGGGTGGGTCGCGGGCGGGTCGCGGGCGAGGACGACGACAACAACTTCAGCAGAATCCGTTGGACGGAGCGCCACTTCTGCCACGCACCCAGGGGCAATGAGCTACCGTTCGGCCCCCTTCCACGCACCCAGGGGCAACGAATTACTGGTCGGCCCCCTGACTCTGATGCTAAGGCATACAACAGAAATATTTGGCATACATTTGTAACCCCCATATCCCATGAGAAACCGCCGCGGTGACCCCAGTAGGGAGGGGAGCCCAGCGCAGCACCAGGAAGCCCGCGCAGGATCCCCCCTCCAACCAAGGGCCCCTTCCCCCTCGTGAGGACGGCCGCCTGCTGCGCAAGTCGGGGCAGCACCTCACCGTGTCCGCCATCGAGAAGAAGCTCTGCCGCGACGGTGCCGCCGCCAGCGGCGACGGCGACGGCGGCGTAGCGAGGACATCGACGACGGCGGTTCCGGCGTGGCGACGACCGACGTCGACAGGGTCCACTTTGCTCCGATCGGTCCGATCCGATGTCGATTCTGGCTGGCTCGGGCCGATCCGATTCCGATATCTTGGCGATCCGGTGCGGTTCGATGCTTGCATGGCGCTGGTGTGCATCCTGTCGCGATTCGATTCCGTCTTCGTGCCGATGCGGCCCGATCTGACGCACGTCCCGGTACCATCTGGTTCATCGATCCCTGAGCGTTCGGCCACGGCGACCGCCAGCGGCTACGGCTCGGCGACGGCGCCTCGTCGGAGGCCTGCACAGAGTGGCACCACCACCTGTATCGGCGGGTGCCACCGCCGAGGGAAGCTGATCTGGATCTCGGCGGTGGTGGTGGTGGTGGTGGTGGTGGTATTCGGGCGAAGGGGACTATGCACATGCACCGGTCCTGGCAAGGCCTGTCTTTGACCCAGGATCGGTGCATACACCTTCCTGGCCAAGGTAGGAGGGCGTATGCACCGATCCCGGGCTCAGGATGGGCCTGGCCAGAATCGGTGTATGTGCATAGTTCTCTTTCCTCTAAGTATTCGGGCTTCCTGGGTGACGGAGAGATCCCCGCCAGCACCATGGTCCAGGATCATCGTGCTCTGGTGGCGTCGGCCCCGTGCTGGGGTTGGCCGCCGGGCCCCGGGCCTCCAACTCTGACGGTGACGGCAGCGGCGGCAGGCGGCCTCTGTTCGGACATGTCCCCCTAGAGGCGGATTTGGGGCGAACCAACAAATAAAATATCCCCAAGTGCTCAAAAAGATTCAGAGCATCGTCTCCCGACGATCTGTTATACATATCTTTGGACACTCCTCTCTTGTAGAGGGACAGGCCCCACTCAACGGCGGGTGGCCGCAGCGGCGGCGGCGGCGGCGCGCCGGCGGCGGCCACGCCCGCGGCGGCGCGCAATGGCAGGCCCGGAGGGCCACGTGGCCGGCGTGTGGCTGCCGGCCGCGTCCCAGTTCCCCGAGGCGGGGGGAGACACCACCGAGGGGGGAGGAGGAGGCCTCCCTCCTCCCTCCTCCCTCCTCCTCACTTTCCTCCTCCTCTTCTTCTCCTCCTCCTCCTCTTCCTCCTCCCCCTCATCCTCCTCATCCTCCTCATCCTCCTCATCCTCCTCCTCCCTCCTCTCTCCTCCCTCCTCCTCTGACGTCTTGGCGAGCGCGTGCGTGATTTTGACGGTCCCAGTTTTCGTGGGAGGTCTGTTGCGGGAGTTTGCGTCAGATTTCAGATTGGGTCTCGTCGTTTTTATGATGGCCCCGTCAGGCCAACCCGAGTCCCCTTTAGCCGAGTCTTACGTCTTCCCGAATGAGGCATAAGTCGTGTATAGCCAGGACCCCATGTGATGGGACCCGGTTAGTAGTAGGGCCCCAGAGCCCCGAAGTTGGCCAGAATCACTAAGCCAGGTCTGCTCTAGCTAGTTTTTTTTTCGGGTGGCGGCAGTTCCGGTCAGTGGAACGGGGCGCGGGGGGGGCGCCCCCCAGCAGTACACATCACTAAGTTAAATCAGGTCCCACTAAACCCAGTTCTGCCAACGCCCGAATAAGGGAAAGAAGTCCCAAGCAGAGCACGACCACGACGACGCCGCCGATGACGACCGCGACGAGGCGCGCAGACGATTCGCACCGAAGCACGGATTTGCGAAAGGGCCCACCCTGCAGGTTCGGTCAGCAGCACATCGTTGAGCGGTGTTGCAGTCTCCTCTGAGCACAGGGCCCCCTGAGGAGCATCAGCCATCAGCTGGACAAGTTGGGTTTGTACCTTCATGTCGTGCTGTTTTTTTTACGCGTTTTGGCGCTGCGACTGTCGCCGCCGCCCCCTCGTCAGGGCCACCGACTCGGATGACGGCGACAACGACAGTGGTGGTGGCCGATGCGTCCCAGAGAAGTCTAGGGGACGCCATACCTCGTCTCGTTGCGAAACCAGCACGGAGCGAGGTTTTGGACAATTTTCGGGTTCCCAGGGCCCTCACCCAGTTCGTGGAACGTAAAATATTTGCTCGGGATGAACAGCCAGTCTGGGGGAAGGGGTCTAGACCTGTGGGGGTCCACGTTGTGAACAAATCGCGACGTCGGAGATCCACAAACTCGGAGCCCAAAACCTCAGGGGAAGCGCCATGGACGGGACTCGGGGGCCCCCAAACTATAGAAAGCGCAAACATGGATGACGCTGCCTGGATTTGCGATGGGTCCCGCCTCCTGACTGATTTTTCAGAGGTGCAGTCCCTGATCCGTGGCAGCATGCGCCCGACAACGCCGTGCAGTGTCCACACCGCGTGGTGAATCGTCGGGGATTTAGGGCGGCCGCATTTGTCACCGTCCATGCGAAGTCCAGCGGCGGAGCTACGGAATAACACAAACACGCGCGCACACAGAGGAAGGACACGATTTCGGGCCGTGGGCATCTCTTCGAGGACGTCTCGGGCGACGGGGGCCTCCAAGGTCCCAACACCGCGCGATCAGCGGAGGTCTTTGGGGGATCCGAGGCTACCGGACGATCTGTCACCGCACCGCTTCGAGATGCCCAAGAGGCGACGCCATCAATCGAAGAAAGGGGAGCTTTCGGAAGAGATTTCAGCGCTTCTGTCGGTTACTGAAGGTTGTCTTGCCTCGGGCTGCGTTCCAGCAGCGCCTCGTGAGCGTTCCAGGGGTGCCCGAATCGTCGCAGACGGCCGCAAGCGGCCCGAGCTATGGCCCGGACGCCCCCGAGTCGGATCAGCGCGAGAGGTTCCCCAACCGAAGCAACAATTCGTTTGCAGCCCTCGCGGAGATCCAGCCAGGGCCCTCCAGCGGCCTGATCAAGGGGGCCTCCGGGGACCCCCAAGGGGAGAACTCCGCAGCGACGCTCCCAGACCTCCCGGGCACTTGGGAGACCTCCGGAGGAGGGCGGACCCAGGAGTCGGGTGCTCCAAGCGGTGCGGTGACCACACTGTGTGGTGAGTCAGCACGGGTTCGAGTTGAGCGCGCTGTTTTGGGACTTCGGTCGTTCTCTGAGGATGTCTGAGACGGCTGGGGCCTCGAGTATGTCCCGAAACTGGGCGGTGGCGCACCGTGCGGTGAGGTCTTTGAGAGCTGGTGTTCGAGGCACGCACGGGCTGAATTCCCACGAAAGTGCAGCAAACCCACGATTTCCAGATCAAACTTCCGAACTTCTACCGAACAACCGCCCCAACAGGAACCGAGCACCCACCCCCGGAATTCAACCGACAAAAAAACGGATTTCTACCGAACAAACCTCTGGACCTCCCTGGAGAGGCCTTATGAGGCCGCCTGGAGAGGCCTTCTGGGACCGCCTGGAGAGGCCTTCTGGGGTCGCCTGGAGAGGCCCTATCGGAATTGCTGAAGGCGCCCCTTGCCCGAGGTGCCTCCGGCTTTCCGCTTAATTGTGGAGCCCCTGGGGCCCTCTCGGCCTCGTGAGGGGTGCTCTGGAGGCCGTGGGAGCTTCCTTGGAAGTCCTGGGGGCACCTTGGGCCAGGGGCACTTTTGGCAACACCCCACTGTTCTTGTTCACTCGAGGCTGGAAGATCGCTCCAGGAGCCGACGGCGACGCCATACGTCGGGCGGGTGGAAATGGGAGGTGACTTCCATTGGGAGTGGAGAGGAGGGCCCTCAATGGAGCCCTCTAGAGCCCTTTTCTGCCCGAATCTAGGTCACACCCCCTCACCACCCGCCCGAGCAGAACGTAGAGTGTCCCCCTCGGCGCGCCGCCGAGCAAGAGGAGGCGCCGCAGCGAAGGCCAACCAGCCTCGGCCGCATCCCCCCTTGTAAGGTCGGCAAGCCTTGAGTCGGGCCTGTCCCTCTAGAGGAGGAATGTTCAAACATAGTCAAAACTATTCACTGCGTGGAACTCCCTATACGTGCATCTTTTTTCAAAAGATAATATTGTATTTGGGATCTTCTTTAAATGAGCGTCTAGCCATATGTGCCATATGTGCATCTCATAGTGTAGGGGCACAAGCTCTGCGCCAGCAGCACCTGGTCACTCCTCCTTGACCGCCGTATGCAACGGGGAGAGCCACTCGGGACACAACGCAAGAGCAGAAACCAGGCAAACCGCTAGAGATATCCCCACACAACGGCGACGAACGGAGCCGTGAAAGCACCTTTGGCGGCTCCTCTTAATTAGGTAGCTGAAACCAGCGCTTCGCCTGAGACATCCTCACAATGGGCTCTCCAAGCGAAGGCTGTTGAGACAGAACACAGGCAAACTGCCTGAGACATCCCCACAAAACGGCCGCCAACGGGACCGTGCGATTCCCCATCGGCGGTTCCCTTTAGGTAGCTGAAACCAGCGCCCCGCCTGAGTCATCCTCAACATCTGCTCTCCAAGCGAAGAATGCTGAGACAGAAAACAGGCAAACCGTTTGAGACATCCCCACAAAACGGCCACGAACGGAGCCGTGACAACACCCTTGGCGGCTCCCCTTGGGGGTGCGGAAACCAGCGCTTCGCCTAAGACATCCTCAAAATCTGCTCTCCAAGCGAAGGATGTTGAGACAGAAACCAGGCAAACCGTTTGAGACATCCCCACAAAACGGCCACGAACGGAGCCGTGAAAACACCCTTGGCGGCTCCCCTTGGGGTGCTGAAACCAGCGCTTCGCCTGAGACATCCTCAAAGTCTGCTCTGATAACCAAGGATGTTGAGACAGAAAGCAGGCAAACCGCTTGAGACATCCCCACAACATTGCTGCGAACGGGACCGTGAAAACACCCTTGGCGGCTCCCGTGGGGTTGCTGAAGCCAGCGCCCCGCCTGAGACATCCTGACAATATGTTGTGTGTTGCGTAAGCAAGACCATACAAAGGTCTGAGTATGAGTAAGTCTGAGTAGGAGTACGTCTGTGTATGAGTACGTCTGTGAATGAGTCTGAGTATGAGTAAGTCTGGGTATGAGTGAGTCTCAGCATGAGTAAGTCCGAGCATGAGTAAGTCTAAGTGTGAGTAGGTCTGAGTATAAGTAAGTGTGTGTATGAGTAAGTCTGGGTACTAGTATATCTAAGCATGAGTAAGTCCAAGTGGGAGGAAGCGAGCTGTACCGCAAATAATGAGCACGAGTACGAGTGGGAGTGGGTATGACTATGACGGGGTATGTCTTTGAGTGGGTGTGAGCTTACTGTGTCACGAAGAAGTCTGGGTATGAGGAGGATGAGGAGGAGGAGAAAACGAGGAGGAAGGAGTAGGAGGTGTCTAAGTAATAACAAGAACCCTATCTCAGGATATGGGGAAACATAGTACGGGGACGATGCTTGTTACTATGTTTGGCTATTTGGGGGCATGTTTTGGTTATTTTTATTTTTCGTCCAAAATCCGCCTGCGCGGGGAAACGCCCGAGCTAAGGCTCACCAGCCTCGGCCGCATCCCTTCTCGTAAGGTCGGCAAGCCCCAGGCGACGACACGCTCAGGGGCATGCTCTCGGAAGCAGAAGGAATCCTTCAGATCGGCACCGAGGCAAGGTGATGTCAGACATAGGGGTAAGGGTATGATTCAAGCTGGTACAGTCGACTACCCAAAAATACTCAAAGATAGTCTGGGGACCATTGTTCCCTACCTAGGCTCTGCCTAGAAGGGTTCTTACTATATGTGCTTAAAGGGCCCGGCAGTGTAAAACGCCCCGGGCGGTTCCCCCAGCATCCGCCCCGCGGTTCCCCCGGTTACGTCTCTTTAGTTTAGCGTTGTTTATCTCATCTTAGCTTAGCTTATTTCATATTAGCTTAGCTTAGCTTCAGCTTAGCTCATGTTTATCTTAGCGTAGCGTACCTTCATCTTAGCTTCGCTGAGCTTTAGCACATCAGAGCACAGCATAGCATAACAGAGCGTGGCATAGCATAGCGCAGCACAGCACAGCACAGCATAGCACAGCGCAGCATAGCATAGCAGAGCAGAGTATAACATAGCATTAGCATGGATGTGACTCCCTACCTAGGCTCTGCCTAGAGGGTTAGCTTAGCTTAGCTTAGCTTAGCATAGCGCATTGCTGCCTTAGCATAGCATAGCATACCATAGCCAAGCATAGCATAGCATAGCATAGCATAGCGCATGATACCATAGCATAGCATAGCATAGCGCAGCTTAGCATAGCATAGTATAACATAGCTTAGCATAGCACATCGCAGCATGGCATAGCATAACTTAGCACAGCATACCATAGCGCAGCATAGCGCAGCATAGCGTAGCATAGCATAGCATAGCATAGCATAGCGTAGCGTAGCATAGCATAGCATAGCATAGCATAGCAAGTACTGCGGCTTTCCTAGGGGCTCCAACTTCTAGGTAGGGTCGCACTGGGGTAATTTTACTATTTTGGGTCATTTTTGGAGTATGGTTTGACTCTTTTCTTGTTTGTCCAAAATCCGCCTGTAGGGGGACACGCCCGACCTAGGATTGGGGGCCTGCCTGCTCTCGGAAGCAAAGGGAATCCTCCAGATCGGCACCGAGGCACGGTGATGCCAAACATAGGGATAGGGGTATGCTTCAAGCTGGGGCAGTCTACTACCCGTAAGAGTGACCCTTCGCCGGAGTGACCTTTAGTGCGGGCGCACTGGGGTTTTCCGATAGCCAAACGCGATGCATTAGCCAAGCGCGATGCAACAGCAGCGTCTTGCGCGCGTGGGGTCTGCCCTCTGGCCCCCCGAAAGCCGCGCACCCCAGGTCATTCCGACAGGGGGGATGGGCATAGGTGGCGGGGGGATGCATCGACCTAGAATGGTTGATACATCGATGTGATCGTTTTGTCATTCATTGTTTGCCGATCGGCGCGGGCCACCCAACCCTCCTCCCCCCCATGGAGTAGATCTTGGCTGTTTTTGGCGCCAGTTTCGAGCGGGTGGAGTCTCCCCTCATAGGAGGCTCTGTCGCAAACAGTCGCACTAAGCAGAGGTCTGGAGCCAGATTCCCCCCCTCTCCCCCCCTTTCCGCATGTCGAAACGCCGAATAAAAAAAACGCTCACGATGCATCGTTGATATCAGGACGATACGTCGACGACGTAGTACAGACGGTACATGGGGCGGCCTGCATCGACGACGCGTCGACGACACACGGGCGTTGCATCGGCCATTCGAGGTCGATGCATTCCCCCCTACGCCTATCCCCTCCTATCTCTCGGCGGCGAGCCCGGGTGAAGTGAGAAGGGGAAGGCCTTCTCAGAAGGCTCGGAAGGCCCCTCGTCATCTGAGAAGTTTTCTATGCCTTCCCCGAAGACACAGAGAACACTTCTCAGAAGGCGCGAGGGCTCCCTGAGAGGCCCCGCCGCCTTCTGAGAAGGCCTTCTGCCTCTCACTTCCCCCCCCTCGCTCGCCGCCGACCATCGTTGCCCCTCACAAGGGCCACCCTCCAAGACCCCCGACGTCATGATTTTTCAGGACGCGACTCCCGGATGGCCGACCTTTTTTCCCAGGACTGGTGTTTCTCATCCTGACCCGTTTTGTTGACGGCCCCGAGGCTCAGTGAGGGCCCCCAGGGGCCGAAAATGGCAAAAAACCTGCCGTCGTGATTTTTTCATGACTCGAGGGGGTCTGGGCTCGCCGCCGACGATCGTTGCCCCTCGTAGGGCCATGGGCCGGTTTCCCACCACCGCTACCATAGGCATAGGCAGGACGGGGGGGAAGTGAGGATGGGGAGCTCCTCCTCCTCCTCCTCCTCCTCCTCCTCCTCCTCCTCCTCCTCCTCCTCCTCCCTATCCTACCTATGGTAGAATTGGTGGGAAGTTGGTCCATCAGATGAGAGGCGCGCTGCCACGACTCCACCGCCCAGTTCCTGGGCGAAGGGGGCCTCGGCGCCCTGCTCGGCGGCCTCCGGCCGAGCCACAACGGCATCATCCAGGCCGCCCCTGGGGGGCGCGGCCCGCTGGGAGCGAGGAAACGGGGTCGAGCTTCGAGGGGGAGGAAGAGGAGGAGGAGGACGAGGACGAGGACGAGGAGGACGACGAGGAGGATGAGGAGGACGACGACGAGAAGGAGGAGGAGGAGGAAGAAGAGGAAGAGAAGGAGGAGGAGGAGGAGGAGGAGGAGGAGGAGGAGGATCAGGCTAGAGTTTCGAGGTAAGGATGAGTATTGAGTCTTGAGCTTCGAGCTCCAAGGAGGAGGAAGATGAGGAGGAGGAAGATCGGAACACGAGGGGCGGGGGGCGGGAGCGAGGCCCGAGCTTCGAGGCGCAGGAGGAGGGGGAGGAGGATCGGATTTCGGGGATCGAGGTTCAAGCTTCGAAGGGCGAGGAGCTTCGATGTTCGAGAATCGAGCTTCCAGGAGGAGGAGAGGA